TTCAGATTTTTATTAAGTAATTTCCCAAGTAGGATATATGATCATTTAAATTATTTTGTGAGAGCAATATATTTGTCAGAAGTAAAAATGTGGGATTTTTCTACATGGAATATTTTGGTTCTACAACATCCAGGATTCTTCATTCCTCAAGTCTGGTGTTTAAAAAAGTAGCTGCCTATTTCTAAGAGCTTTATTGAAACTTCCCCAGCTGAAATCTCTTTGCTATGAATCTCTCAGAGTACTTCTGGGATTGTTCTTTGGTATCTCTTCATATACAGTAGTCTAAGTAGTATCTAAGTAGTCAGATACAGTAGTCACTCTTTTCCCTAGAGAATGAAAAAAAGAGTTTCATCCATATTGTATGGGTGAAGGAGCTGTGTTTTTAACTTGTTTAAGGGATGCTTAGACAGTGATGAAATGCCTAGGAAAACATAATATTCTTGACTGTCATCATCAACAACAGGGATGGCCAACCTGTGACATGCATGCCACAAATAGCTTGTGCAATCCTTGTGTGGCATGCAGCAGACTAGGAAAGGCACATAAAATCAACTAGGAATCAACACCATGGCTGATATGGCAGGGAGCAGAAAATAGACCAATAGATTGGACAGAGACCACAGGGAAGGGAGCAGAAAGCAGAGCAAGTGATCATTAGAGGAAGGGGATCAGAATGGTGATGGAGAGAGTGTAAGGCTAATCTACTGAAAAAGTTGGTCCCCACTGATCTACATTAAATATACAATATTACTTTACTTCCAGCAAGCCCATGAGGTTGAAGCCCATGTTTCAGTTTGGAGAAATCAACTTTAAGTAAAAAAGAATTAAATGGAAAAGAGACTCTTTCTTAAATCTTTAATTAAATACTTAAAAAGGATGATGGGAGGGAAAATCAATACTACCTGAAGACTTCTTTGAAGGAAATAGGCTCTGGTAACTGGGTTAATTGTGGATGGAGTGAGCGGCAAATATGGAAACAGATGTGCAAGGTAAACGAGCAGGGAGTCTGAAGAGGAATTGAGCAGAGGGCTCCTGGCACATGGGACCTGAATCCGCGTGATGATATAACCATAACATCCTTAGAAGGAAGATGTTTGCCAGCAAGGCTAGCAACAAGCTACTGGACTAGCTAGGTATGCAGAGTGACAAGGGACCTGCTCCTAGAGGAGGGCGGGGTGTAAGCAAGTCAGGCAAAAATGTGTAACGCTACCTTTATAAAAACAGGTTTTAGTGATGGTTCCTGACATGCCACAGAAATGGTGATTTATATCACAAATGCTGAGATGAGTCTCTAGAGTATCTGATTTAGACTGTTGTGAGTTTAAAATATAATGCTGACTTGTTTGATGGGCTTCAGGTATTGATGGCAGTATGATATGCTGTGTAGGAAGGGTGCTATTAGCAGATACATTATAAATGGCCATCTGGACCTCTTCTCTAAAAATGCTGCAAGAGGCAGCCTATCTAAATCTATCTTCCTATAATTTTATTATATGAAATATCAGGTTCTGTCAAACTTATTTTAATGTTTAATCATTTAAGGTTTAATGTATATTTGCACTTAAATGCCTCACTCTTATCAAAGCCATTTTTCCAACGTGTTTCAACTCATCATAAAAATCCTTAAGGTTTTACCAAGAGACTTTTACAAAGTGTAATGTGAGATTTGGGTTGTTACTTAAGTTGTTAGCAGCTGTCCTGGATTTTGGCTCTTAAGGCCTAAAAAAACCCAGAAATAGCTGCTGCCTTAATTAACAAACTCAACACTGTTGCCAATTCATACATTTCTATTTGGTATGGCCACTAGAGGGGATCAGAGCATCACACTCACTAAGCATAACTTACATAAGATTTCTGCATCTAATTTAATGGTACCCCCTGGTGTAATAATGCTTTGGATGCCTCCTCAAACTGCTCCTGGATGTCATCCAGTATGGATTAATGGTAAATTCTTGCATGTGGTGCTAGAATGGGCCTATTCAGATTAGATTAGAACTGCTTTCTCCGTATCTCTCTTCTGTCAGCAGACCTGCCACCTACTTCAGTCCTACATTCCACAAGGAACCATTCATCCCCTTTTATGGTCCCTTAACACTTCCAGGTGTAACCCAAAGCAGCAGAGTCTCACTATGCCAGTTTGGGCCCATGCAGTTCTGAGATTCTGCCTGCCCACAGACAGTTGACCTATAATCAGTTATCTTCGGAAATAATGGAAGGATCACATAAAAGTAGCTGGAAGGCCTGGAAGGGGCTTCATGAGGTCATCTAGTCCAGCCCCCTTTCTCAAGGCAGGATCATCACTAACTAAACCATCCTAGCTAAGTGTCCATCTAACCTGCTCTTGAAAACTTTCAAGGATGAAGATCCCACACATTCTCCAGATAGCCCATTCCAATGCTTGACCACTCTAATAGTCAGAAAATTGCTCCTAATCTCCAAACTAACTTTCCCCTGCTGAAGCATGAGGCCATGGCACTTAGGTTGCAAAGTGCTTAGATGCAGAAGTGGAAGTAATATTATTTACTTGGAATTTAAAAAGGCTTTTGACACAGTGTCTCACCCAAATCTTACAAGCAAACTGAGTAGCTGTGATGTGGATTTTTTCACAGTAAGGTGGGTGAAAAACTGGCTTATGGGATGCACTGAGAGTGGTGGTGGATGGTTTGGTTTCTCCCTGGAGGGATGTGGGCAGTGGTGTCCCCCAAGGCTCTGTCCTTGGACCAGTACTGTTTAACATCTTCATCAGCGATCTGGATGAAGGGGTTGACAGCACCTTGTCCAAATTCACAGATGACACTAAACTATGGGGTATAGTAAACACTCTGGAGGGCAGGGAGTGAATCCAGGCAGATCTGGACAGACTAGGAAAGTGGGCAGATCAGAATAGGATGCATTTGTCCTTATTAAACTGCAAGGTGCTGTACCTGGGGAGAGAGAATTTCCAACACACCTATAGATTATGGGGTACCATTCTGAGTACCACAACAGTGGAAAGAGATCTCGGAGTCCTGGTTGATGCAGAAATGAACCTGAGTTGCCAGTGTGATAAGGTAATAAGCAAGGCTAACCGCACTCTTTCTTGCATCAGCAGGTGCATCACGAGCAGGTCTAGGGAAGTGATAATTCCCCTCTATGCAGCATTGGTAAGGCCGCAGATGGAGTAATGCGTCCAATTTTGGGCACTTCAAGAGGGATGCAGACAACCTTGAGAGGGTTCAGAGGAGGGCTACTTGTATAGTTGAGGGCCTGCAGGCAAGACCCTATGAAGACAGACTGAGGGACCTGAATCTCTTCAGCCTCCGCAAGAGAAGTCTGAGAGGCGATCTTATGACTGCCTGTAAACTCATCGGGGGGGTCAACAGGGAATAGGGGACGCTGTTTACCGGGGCGCCCCTCAGGGTTATCAGAAATAATGACCACAAACTGAAGGAGAATAGATTTAGATTAGACATAAGGAAGAAATTCTTTATGGCAAGGTTGCCAAAATATGGAATTGGCTTCCAAGGGAGGTGGTGCTTTCCCCTTTCCCGGAGATGTTCAAATGGAGATTAGACAGGTATCTGGCTGGGGTTACTTAACCCCAGTGCTCTTTCCTGCCTGGAGCAGGAGGTCGGACCCAATGATCTACCAGGTCCCTTCCAACTCTAGAAATCTACAAAAAGCACATCTCCACCTTCTCTGTAAATCACCCTTCAATTATTTGAAGACTGTTATCAAATTCCCTCTCAGTCTTCTTTTCTGCAGACTAAATACCCCTAGTTCTTTCAGCCTTTCCTCATACATCTTGCTTTCTAGGCCCCAATTATTTTTATTGCTCTGTGCTAGACTCTCTCCTATCTGTCCATATCCTTCTTGAAGTGTGGGGCCCAAAACTGGACACAGTGCTCTAGGTAAATGTAAGGAGGCCAGGCCAGAACCCTGGATCCAGCCAGCCCCATTCAGGAGATTAGGACAAATCATCTCCAGAACAAGCACTATCTGCAGCAAGCCCAGAACAGTGCCCTACCCCCAATTCCACTGAGTGAGGCAGTCAGGGCAGCCAATCCCCTGAAGCTACAGCTGGGCCCACCTGCTCCAGGCCTTAAAAGCCAGGCCCAGCTCTCAGTCTCCTTTTCTAGGCAAAGGCAAAAGTTATTACTTCTGACCTTCCATGTGCTTCCTTGCTGATTTTTGTGGTTTTGACTCCTGGCTCTGACTCTGGCTTTCAACTTCAGTAAGACCCTTGGCATTCCTTGACTCTGGGTCCCTGTTTGTGATTACGGTTTGACCTTTGGCTGTGGCTTTTGGCTTCTGATGCCAGTTAACACTTGGCTTACCGTGTCTCCAGCTTCTAATACCAACTTGTCCTAACTTTGCTTACGGCTTCTGAATCCAGTTCCAACACCAGACTCCTCTAGACCCTAGCTCTCTGGGGAGCCAATCTGGAATTCACCCGCACTTTGGCTAACTAACAAATAGGTGAGACTACCCAAGGGCTGGTGCATAACAGTGAGTCTCAGGAAGTCTAGGCAATTAGCATGCAGTGGTGCACCTGACACTCTACAAATCCACCAGATTGCCAACTGCCCATGAATATATACATAGCCCATTAAAAAAAAAAAAAAAACCCCTAAAAATGTCTTTGTAAAGTTAAAAATTTGAGCCTTCCTGTCTGGGCTTGGCCCAATTAAAGCTACAGGTACAGACACTGGGTACCTTCCTGACCCTGACCTGCAGTCACATGATCACTTACCTGGTTTTCTGTAGCAGTGGTCCTGACTCTTGTTTGCCACATCTTGATGTTTTAAGATAATAACAATTGGGAGGTGTTAATTCTCACCGCCACCAGTCAATGATCGCTCAAAGTAGATTTCTTATGGGGCTCGGCCTCCCCTACACCCCGGCCTAGCACCACCCAGATGTTATGCTGCCATTTGTTTATCTTGATCTTAACTGGAATCTCTTGTTTCTCTTTCACAGGCTTGTGTGTGTCAAGGCAACCATCTCAATGGAACTAAATCAGCGCGGACTACTGGACTTCTTTAGTCTCAGGTAAGTCCCATGGTTGGCCAGGAGAGAGATTTTTATATATTCTATCTCCCTGATGGTTGAGCCTTCTAATAAAATCAACAAAACAAAGTAGTCTAAACAAATAAAAAGAACAGAAGCCCATTCAGGCTGATTTACCCTCTCCCAGGGATATTGATTGGTCTGAGCAGTTTTCCCCTTCACATAATTCAGGTTGGGCCTCTACCCACCTGATGCAACACTCTGCCAGCCAATGGAGATGACAGCACATCAGGCAACACAGTCATAAATGAAAAGAAGACACAAAAAAAATGCCAGTATCTCCAAAAACAGGGCTCAGCTACTTTTCTGTAGGCTGGGCCTTTTGCGGCATCGCTCCCTGGCCACAAACACCACTCTTCTCCATGGTGTCTCCCTGGCTGGAGTCTCCCATCCTAATTAAGCTCTTCTGAGCTTAATCACCATCTGTCTGCTGGCTCAATGCTACTGGGGATGTCCCACCCTGCTTCTCAGGGCTTGGGATGCTCATCTCCACACTTCAGCTCCCCACGCACTTCTCTCCCTGCTTCCCAGGGCTGCTCTAGCCTCACGGAGCAGCTGCTCCAGAACTGCAGTTCCTGAGGCACTCCTTTCTCCCTCACTGTTTCCTTCTGGCTGTCGGTAAATATCTCTTTTCTTTCTTCTTCTTTACACTTCCATAAGAAAAAATGAAGTAACTTTAAGACTGACTGAAGATCCATTGTTGGAGTGGAATGGAGGAAATATTAATGAACAGACAGAGTAGAACAGTGCCACCTTGTATCTGAATGGGCGAACAGCTTGGCACCTACAGGGAGCTCTCTATCCGAGGGCCTCTGAAGCCCCTTCTCTCCCCCTAGGCATGGGAGGCAAAGATTTCTTAAGGTTATATCTTTTATTGGACCAGTTATATAGTTAGGTTACAGTCAGGCAAGCTTTCAAATGCAAGACATTTTTCCTGTTCCTCAGAACCTGGTCAGACTAGAGAAGAATATCTTGCATTCAAAAGCTTGTCTATATTCCAACTACATAATTGGTCCAATAAAAGATAGCACCCTGTGACAGACAGCAAAAGACTGCCATACAGCAGGACTTACAAGACACACTGGGGCAGCAAGCAGACTGACTGTTGGCGGCAGAAGAAGGGAACATCCAGCCCCAGTATGGGCATGTCTTCTAAACACATCCCAGTACTAATTTGGGAGGGGGAGGGGGATGCAGATGCTGGTTCAAAGCCACCATGGGACAACTTCTTAGGGGAACCAGAAGTGAGGTCCCCACATCACCTGGAGCAGCGCGAGAAGGTAGAATGACCTGGCAGGGGCAAGTGGTGGAAGCCTACAGCTGAGAGGCTGTTCACCAGGGCTGACTTGGAGGAATCCGTGTACTTACCTGAGCAGAGTCTGTGGAAGCCAGATACTGGTAAGCTGAGCTGGATCAGTGACAAGCTTGAAAGACAAGAAGAGAGAAGGGACTGGTAAAGCCATGAGTGAAAAGGTGGGTGACACATTAAACATGTGTTTCAGCCCAACATGCCCTGAGTAGGAAAGTGATATATATGTAGGACTGAGTTTAAGTAAGGATATTCATAGTAGGACCCTGAGACAGGGTGCTCTTACCACTATTATTGTGACAAAGATTCTTGAACTGAGGAAGGCAGGAAAAGCATTTACCAAACTCGACATTGCACCATCAGGTTGGTGCTAGGCGGGGTGTAGGGGAAGTGAGGTGCCAGGTCCATGCAACAACATGTGTATTTATAAAGTCACCACAGGAGTAGGAATTGACACCATCCTCCCTATAATTAGTTTACACCAAAGACGTGGGAGGCGAGAACCCTTGGTGGCTTTAATAGTCTACAGTCACTACTGGTCAAGCTGCCAGCTTGCAAGGCAGCGGACAGTGTTAGCTGGGAAGAAAAATCTAAGTGCGGGACTAAGGACTGGCATGGCAAACTAGACACCCTAAGAAATCCTTGCCTAGTCATAATTTCTGAACCATCACAGCTACCTCACTCTTGCACTGCTATATATTTTATGTTGTAATACAATATTGGTGCATTAATTATGGATGATATGTTCTGCTATATAATGATTCAATATTCTAAAATTGATAATTGTGTGGACTTACTGATATATTTATGTACCAAAATATCACTGTATTCCAGCTCATTGCCAATATCATTGATGGCAGAGTGGTTCATACTAAAATGCATAATAACATTAAAATTCGCTGTAACACAGGAACGAATAATAATTTACTATAAGGAGAAATAGTAATGTTAAAAAGTGTGAGTGAGGAAAGATAATAAAAGCTCAACTATATAGGAATTTGGAGGAGTGAATTTAACGTTTAACCTAAGTAATGTAGTTGATGTTTTGGTCATATTAAGCTATGTTAGTTTAAGAGGAGAAATGACTAAAATAGTGTGAACAAATAAAATGTATGTATCAGTTTTACTTTGTAAGCTAAACTATATATCTCTTCTTTGTAATGCACAATGTTAATTTACTGTATGCCTGATATTTGGAGAACCGTTTGATTTCCAGGATTTCTTGGCAGCACACAGCTTTGATATTGCAAGCCATTTCCAAGAAGGAATAGGAAGTAGGGTGTGGTATCTTTGAATGTACAAAATGTTGCACTGTCCCTCAAAATATCTAAAACTGTAATGCCAGATTCTCAGCTGCCATAAATCAATTGTCTGTGCCAGCAGCATATGGTCCTTCATTTATAAATAGAGGGCAAAATCCTACTTCACTTTACATACGAAAATGGTACTTACCCAGACACAAAACTGTCTAAATTCCTACTCCATGAATAGTGAGGATGCATATGTCCACAGGGCTACAGAGTATGCATACTAGGCAGGTATGTGGATTCATATATGTGTGTAAGCACCTGAGCATAAGGTGGCTTAAGGAGAGCTATGCCATGCTTTAGCCCAATAATCTAGGATAGAGACAGATATAACACCTAAGTCAGTTTAAGTGATCAGAAACTGGTTTAAACCTGTAACAGAACAGACGTTAAGTACGTATAACCCAGTTTGAAAATGGTTGAAACTGGTTTGAGATAAACCTGATTGAATGTAGCATCAGACTGAACTGATTTGGGTCAAACTGGTTTATGCAAGGTCTGTCCCATACCTCTTCCTGGTAAACCAGAGTCCCCCAGCATCCCAGATGCTTTGCAATGCTAGGTGGGGCTCTGCTCTCTGCTCCAGCCCAGCAGGGCTGGCCCCACCCCTCTGCTCCCTGCCTGGAGCTCCGGCAGAAACTGAAGGTACAGCAGCATCTTCCTGGCTTCCTCCTGCTCTCTTCCACCCCCCACTCACCACTCCCTGCTCAAGCAGGGATTCTCCCCTGCCCTCTGCCTTACACAGACACCTCTCAGCATTAGTTAGCATACCACATGCTGGCTTTGGTCTGGATATGGGGGACAGGACAAAGTCAGACAGGGCAGTCTCAACTTAGGGTTTTTTGGAGCCAATCAACAGATAGCTGGAAATGTCTCTCCATTCCTTCCTTGGAAAAAGTTATTTAAGAAGAGCTTGAAATAATGAGAGAAGGTTTTGTTTTATAGATGGACTGATAAATGCTAACAACTCCCTGTGTAACCCTCTGCTGTGTAAGTAAATGCTTTGTTATCAATGCCTTGCTGGCTCTCTTGCTGGTCAGGAGTAGGGAAATCCTTCCACAATCAAAGCATCCTGCTGGGGTCTAGCCACCCCCCCCCCCCTCAGCTTAGCATTGTGAAAGGGAAGGGAGGGCTTCTCTAGCACCCCCTGGCTTCTAGCCTGAGCCACTTCAGACATGTGCCTGCATTTTTTTCAATCCAGAGGGGATGTCTGTAGAGTTACAAATTGGTTCCATATGGCAGCGGGGTACACCTTCAGGGGCCAGAAGTGCCAGGGGAAGACCCTGATGCTCCCGGAGGAGGGCCAAGGGATCCCAGCACCAGAAAACTTACCCGGGAGGCAGGTCAGGATGGAGAATAATCCACGCAAGCTAGCACTGCAGTGGCTTATCAAGCAGCTGTTGATCAAGCTGAGCTGTGGCCAGCTTGATGATGTCAGCTGCCATGGGAGATTTAAAAACCCTGGTGGAAGCTGGGTGCAGGGGGGAAGCCAGAAGGTGAAACGCCGGGCATGCTGAGGCCTCACAAACCTCGGCCCCTGGCATAGAGGCCCATGGTTGGTAGTTCCCCACAGGAGACGTGACCGGCCTTATCGACCCCGGCTCTGAGGTAGGCACCTTAGACCCAGGGTCGGTGTAGGGGCAGAGGTGGACCAAGGATGAAGGGGGCAGGCAGGCTGAATTTCCAAGCCTGTGCACCCAACAGCAGCTGAGGAAGCAGAGGCTCCTCGAGGCACTTGACGAGCCGAAGCCAGGAGTTGGTGTGGCAACATGAAGATCCACAAGGTTGGCAAGTGGAAGGGGTGTAGGAGATGCAGAGCCCCAGGAGCAACCATGGCGAGCCAGGGAGTAGCCCATCTCTGGATCGAGGGAGGAACACCACTGAACCCCTCCTTTCAGTTACAAATTCCATTGAGTCATGGTAGGCAAGTCAGGGGCCCAGACCACAGAGTGGGAGCATACTCACAGCGCCAGCTGGGGACGCCACATTCAGCCTAGCCAGGTTAGAGTAACCTGCAAAGATTGAATCAATTCAGACTCAGGCTTTTTGAATATCTGTCCTTGCCTAAGTGCTCAGGGCAATCAACCAAGAAGCAAGAGACTCAGGTTCTAGACCCAGAAGGAATTTGGCCCTACATCTCCTTAGCTCTCCTAGTCAGAAGGCTACCTCATGGTTACAGATGATGATTACATGGTTCACTACCCACATCTATTTTGTTAATGATTCAGGTTCTTTTTATCCCTCTATTTAGTTAATAAATTATTGGTTTTATTATACTTTGACATTTCCCATGTGTCAAACATAGAATTTTCACTTCTGAAATGCCCTAAAATACAATGGTTATGACAATTTTCTAAAAAGCATGT